CAGTAAGTGCCGTAGAAATTTAGAGGAGAGATCAATTTGGATTAAAGATCTTTATTGAATCAACTTCCTGTAAACTATGAAGTGTAATTAAGCTTCAGATAGGGAGGAGATAATATTCCTTGCATGGAAAAGTGGCTAAGCAAAGATTTAAAGCCCAGAATGAACAAAGTACTTGGAGTGGAAAGTTTGTATTGGGGAACATTAGGAAAATATTGAGTAAGGGCTTGGTGTGATGGAAACTATGTTTTAAGATTATTTGGTTGTTGTTCAGGGTCATGGAAGCTTGCAAAGAGATAACCAGACGCTGTGGTGTTAACTAGATAAAGCTGATATGAACCAGGGTTAGTGTGTTGGCAGTGGGGAAAGAAAGGAAGGAATACATTATGTGTAGATGGGGGAAATCACAGAATGTGGGAGCAGATTTCCTGTTGCTGATGGAGAAGGGAATCAAATATTACAGATTTTGAACCTGGAATTTGCATACTGATGTGAAAGTTGGAAAGGGGGAATCTTGGAGGATTCCAACTGTTATGTTATTTGGTGCTGTCATGTTAATTAATTTAAGCATTTATTAAATGCCTACTTTGCCAAGTTCTAGGAACACAAAGATGACTAAGACATGGTCCTTGCCTGAAAAGAACTACTTTTAATGGGAGATAGAATACAGCTAGCTAGAAAGTACAATTCATAAGCACTTTGATATCAGAGTAGAGGGGAAATGTTAGAGGAGTAGAAAATAAATTATTCTTTGTTTGTGGGAGGGAAGAAGGGACTGCTTCATAGAAGAAGCAACATTTTAGCATAGTCTCGAGAGATGAGTTGGAATTTCCTATGGAAAAAAAGAACTCCAGGAAAAGAAAATTATATGAACCAAAGCCCAGAGATAGAAAAGTAAAATGGCCAGTGTCCAGTAAGGCTTGGACACAGGATGGAATAGAGCTTTAATATAGTGTCAAGGCCCTAAAACATATTAAGGGATTAGCAATATGGTCACTTTATAGTAGGCCAAATGGAGGTTAGGATAGGCAAAGGTATAGAAATGGAGAAGAAAGCAGTTGGGGAGAATTGTACTTCATGGCTTCTATATTCTCTGCAAGGTAGATGGTGAAGTCATTTGCAGAGAGGGAGGAGACTGACACTAGAGTTGGGGGCTGAAGGAGAGTAATAAGGATTTGCAACAGTAGTCATAGGGAAACCATCAAAAAGAAGTATTAAAAAATTGCTGAACAGCACTGAAAGTCCAGCTTGGCTGGATTTAGATATTTGTAATGCATGCAATGAGCATAGATATGTTGCTTTTAAAAGTGGCATGTGGTAGCCCAAGAGAAGTGGAGAAAAAAATACAGTTTATGGAGATTGATAAAAAAAAGGATGAACTGCCTCAACCAGGGTAAAATAATTGAAGGGGATAGTATGGGTATAGGCAGTGGTCCCCAACCTCTTTGGCACTAGGGACCGTTTCATGGAAGACAATTTTTCTATGGACCAGGGAGGCTGGTTTTGGCGAGGGGGATGGTTTTGGGATGATTCAAAAGCATTGCATTTATTGTGCAGTTTATTACATTGTAATATATAATGAAATATTTATACAACTCACCATAGGTTGGGGACCCCTGGACCGTATAGGGAAATGAGCTGTGCCTCCAGGGTAGGTTGGGAAAGAAGTAAGTGTGGAGAAGCCAGATAGATTAAGAGAACAAGAAGGAGGGTGGTGTCAGAAGACTGAGAAGAGGGGTGGAAGTGGGAACGTGATTTTTATGAGAAAAGCAATTTTTGGAGTTGGAGCAGAGATAGAAGTTTCACAGATTGAGTAAAATATAGGAAAGACCTAGTTTACAAAAGTGTCATTGTATTATTAAAATGCATTGTAAATCATTTATTTAAAACTAATAATTTCTTCATTTCCCATAGAAAGAAACAGTATTTTAGAATTTAGTGCCCTAGGCAAGCTCACATGTATGAGATACTATACATTTGCATTGGAAAATAGTAATATATACACACAAATATACATATGAAAAATAAAATAGAGATTTTTTTAAAAATACTTCAACTTGGGCCGGGCGCGATGGCTCATGCTTGTAATCCTAGCACTCTGGGAGGCCAAGGCAGGTGGATCGTTCAAGGTCAGGAGTTCGAGACCAGCCTGAACAAGAGCGAGACCCCATCTCTACTAAAAAAATAGAAAGAAATGATCTGGACAACTAAAAATATGTATATAGAGAAAAAAAAATTAGCCGGGCATGGTGG